TTGGATGCTGCATAACTGAAAGAGGAGACACTATTAGGAGCACCACCTCCTCTTCCAGCTAATGTCTTCTGTTCTCTACTAAACAGCCAACTGCACAAAAGAGTTTCCGCTTCTTTCTCTCTCCTTGAGGATTTATACCAGAGGTCAGCAAACATTTTCTGTAAAGGGCCACAGGCGGTAAATATTTTTGGCTTTGAGGACCTTTCAGTTTCTCTCACAACTACTCAACTCCATCACTACAGTGTGAAAGCAACCACAGACAATATGTTAATAAATGGGCATAGTTGTATCCCAATGAAACTATTTATAAAAACCATCAGTTTTGATCTCAGGGCAGCAGTTTGCCAACTTGTGCTCTATTCCAAGGTTTCTTTGACTTAGTCTTTCCTAGGTGCTCTGATTTATTGCAATGGCTTCAGTTACCAATTCTAAGCCAATGATACAATTTTTATTCACAAAGCCAGAGTTCTCAGCTCCAAGCTCAACCTGCTTATTGACAAGCAGATGCATGTCTCACAGGTTCTGAAACAGTGTTCTAAAACAAAACTCAAGACCTTCTCTTTCAAACATGTATCATATCTCAGTTATAACATTACCATCCATGAATTTGTCCTTGCCAGAAATCTAGGAATTATTCTTTAGGAGCTGGAATCATCGAAAAGTAATCTGAACCACAGCTAATTCTTGTCAAGAGGCTGATAAAGAAGTAAAGTCCTAAACATGGAAAGGAACAACCGGTACCAGCTACTGCAAAAACATGCCAAATTGTAAAGACCATCGATGCTAGGAAGAAACTGCATCAATTAACAAGCAAAATAACCAGCTAACATCATAATCACAGGATCAAATTCACACATAACAATATTAACCTTAAATGTAAATAGGCTAAATGCTCCAATTAAAAGACACAGACTGGTAAACTGGATAAAGATTCAAGACCCATCAGTGTACTATATTCAGGAGACTCATCTCACATGCAGAGACACACATAGGCTCAAAATAAAGGGACAGAAGATCTATCAAACAAACGGAAAACAAAAAAAAGCAGGGGTTGCAATCCTAGTCTCTGATAAAACAGACTTTATACCAACAAAGATCAGAATAGACAAAGAAGGCCATTACATAATAGTAAAGGGACCAAGAAGAGCTAACTATCCTAAATATATATGCACCCAATATATGAGAACCCAGATTCATGAAACAAGTCCTTAGACACCTACAAAGAGACTTAGACTCCCATACCATAATAATGGGAGACTTTAACACCCCACTGTCAACATTAGACAGATCAACGAGACAGAAAGTTAACAAGGGTATCCAGGAATTGAACTCAGCTCTGCATCAAGCGGACCTAACAGACATCTACAGAACTCTCCAACCCAAATCAACAGAATATATATCCTTCTCAGCACCACATCACACTTATTCCAAAATTGACCACATAATTGGAAGTAAAGCACTCCTCAGCAAATGTAAAAAAACAGAAATTATAACAAACTGTCTCCCGGACCATAGTGCAATGAAACTAGACTCAGGATTAAGAAACTCACTCAAAACCACTCAACCTCATGGAAACTGAACAACCTGCTCCTGAATGACTACTGGGTACATAACGAAATGAAGGCAGAAATAAAGATGTTCTTTGAAACCAATGAGAACAAAGATACAACATACCAGAATCTCTGGGATACATTTAAAGCAGTGTGTAGAGGGAAATTTACAGCACTAAATGCCCACAAGAGAAAGCAGGAAAGATCTAAAACTGACCCCCCAACATGAAAAGAACTAGAGAAGCAAGAGCAAACACATTCAAAAGCTAGCAGAAGGCAAGAAATAATTAAGATCAGAGCAGAACTGAAGGAGACAGAGACATAAAAAACCCTTCAAAAAATCAGTGAATCCAGCAGCTGGTTTTTTGAAAAGATCAACAAAATTGATAGACTGCTAACAAGACTAATAAAGAAGAAAAGAGAGAAGAATCAAATAGACGCAATAAAAATGATAAAGGGGATATCACCACCAATCCCACAGAAATACAAACTACCATCAGAGAATACTATAAACACCTCTATGCAAATAAACTAGAAAATCCAGAAGAAACAGATAAATTCCTGGACACATACACCCTCACAAGACTAAACCAGGAAGAAGCTGAATCCCTGAATAGACGAATACCAGGCTCTGAAATTGAGGCAATAATAGCCTACCAACCAAAAAAAGTCCAGGACCAGTCGAATTCTACCAGAGGTACAAAGTGGAGCTGGTACCATTCCTTCTGAAACTATTCCAATCAATAGAAAAAGAGGGAATCCTCCCTAACTCATTTTATGAGGCCAGCATCATCCTGATACCAAAGCCTGGCAGAGACACAACAAAAAAAGAGAATTTTAGACCAATATCCCTGATGAACATCGATGCAAAAATCCTCAGTAAAATACCGGCAAACCAAATCCAGCAGCAAATCAAAAAGCTTATCCACCATCAAGTGGGCTTCATCGCCAGGATGCAAGGCTGGTTCAACATACGCAAATCAATAAATGTAATCCAGCACAAAAACAGAACCAAAGACAAAAACCACACGATTATCTCAATAGATGCAGAAAAGGCCTTTGACAAAATTCAACAGCCCTTCATGCTGAAAAACTCTCAATAAATTTGGTATTGATGGGATGTATCTCAAAATAATGAGAGCTATTTATGACAAACCCACAGCCAATATCATACTGAATGGGCAAAACCTGGAAGCATTCCCTTTGAAAACTAGCACAAGACAGGGATGCCCTCTCTCACCCCTCCTATTCAACACAGTGTTGGAAGTTCTGGCCAGGGCAATCAGGCAGGAGAAAGAAATAAAGGGTATTCAATTAGGAAAAGAGGAAGTCAAATTGTCCCTGTTTGCAGGTGACATGATTGTATATTTAGAAAACCCCATCGTCTCAGCCCAAAATCTCCTTAAGCTGATAAGCAACTTCAGCAAAGTCTCAGGATACAAAATCAATGTTCAAAAATCACAAGCATTCCTATACACCAATAACAGACAAACAGAGAGCCAAATCATGAATGAACTCCCATTCACAATAGCTTCAAAGAGAATAAAATACCTAGGAATCCAACTTACAAGGGATGTAAAGGACCTCTTCAAGGAGAACTACAAACCACTGCTCAGTGAAATAAAAGAGGACACAAACAAATGGAAGAACATTCTATGCTCATGGATAGGAAGAATCAATATTGTGAAAATGGCCATACTGCCCAAGGTAATTTATAGATTTGATGCCATCCCCATCAAGCTACCAATGACTCTCTTCACAGAATTGGAAAAAACTACTTTAAAGTTCATATGGAACCAAAAAAGAGCCCACATTGCCAAGACAGTCCTAAGCCAAAAGAGCAAAGCTGGAGGCATCATGCTACCTAACTTCAAACTATACTACAAGGGTACAGTAACCAAAACAGCATGGTACTGGTACCAAAACAGAGGTATAGACCAATAGAACAGAACAGGGCCCTCAGAAATAATACCACACACCTACAACCATCTGATCTTTGACAAACCTGACAAAAACAAGAAATAGGGAAAGGATTCCCTATTTAATAAATGGTGCTGGGAAAATTGGCTAGCCATATGTAGAAAGCTGAAACTGGATCCCTTCCTTACATCTTATACAAAAATTAATTCAAGATGGATTAAAGACTTAAATGTTAGACTTAAAACCATCAAAACCCTAGAAGAAAACCTATGCAATACCATTCAGCTCATAGGCATGGGCAAGGACTTCATGACTAAAACACCAAAAGCAATGGCAACAAAAGCCAAAATTGACAAATGGGATCTAATTAAACTAAAGAGCTTCTGCACAGCAAAAGAAACTACCATCACAGTGAACAGGCAACCTACAGATTGGGAGAAAATTTTTGCAGTCTACCCATCTGACAACGAGCTAATATCCAGAATCTACAAAGAACTTAAATTTACAAGAAAAAAATCAAACAACCGCATCAAAAAGTGGGCGAAGGATAAGAACAGACACTTCTCAAAAGAAGACATTTACGCAGCCAACAGACACATGAAAAAATGCTCATCATCACTGGCTATCAGAGAAATGCAAATCGAAACCACAATGAGATACCATCTCACACCAGTTAGAATGGTGATCATTAACAAGTCAGGAAACAACAGGTGCTAGAGAGGATGTGGAGAAATAGGAACACTTTTACACTGTTGGTGGGATTGTAAACTAGTTCAACCATTGTGGAAGACAGTGTGGCAATTCCTCAAGGATCTAGAACCAGAAATACCATTTGACCCAGCAATCCCATTACTAGGTACATACCCAAAGGATTATAAATCATGCTGCTATAAAGACACATGCACATGTATGTTTATTGTGGCACTATTCACAATAGCAAAGACTTGGAACCAACCCAAATGTCCATCAATGATAGACTGGATTAAGAAAATGTGGCACATATACACCATGGAATACTATGCAGCCATAAAAAAACATGAGTTCATGTCCTTTGTAGGGACATGGACAAAGCTGGAAACCATCATTCTGAGCAAACTATTGCAAGGACAGAAAACCAAACACCACATGTTCTCATTCATAGGTGGGAATTGAACAATGAGAACCCTTGGACACAGGATGGGGAACATCACACACCAGGGCCTGTCATGGGGTGGGGAAAGGGGGGAGGGATAGCATTAGGAGATATACCTAATGTAAATGACCAGTTAATGGGTGCAGCACACCAACATGGCACATGTATACATATGTAACAAACCTGCATGTTGTGCACATGTACCCTAGAACTTAAAGTATAATAATAAAAATAAAAAATAAAAATTAAAAAAAACAAGTAAAGTCTTAAGAGCACAAAAGAGTAGTAATAGGCTCCTGTTTTCTCTTTGAATCTAAGGTACACAGCGCCACCTAATGGTAAAAACAAGGCCACCATTCACTACAAATAAGGCTTTTGGTAAATACAGAATTACTTACCTGAGGCTGAAGCAAAACAACCAGGGATGTGGGGAGACCAGATTGTGCTATAAATAATACTTTCATGGCCTCTAAAGGTGCACAGAGACTTTCCAACAGTTGGATCCCACTAAAAATAAATGAATAGATCAATTGCTCAAGAGGGATAAATTCAAATTTATGCTTTTACATATACTATACATACCAATAAACTATATACATTTATATATACACATACAATATATATACAGATCTCAAGGATTTTTAAAGATCTATTTTGATATAAAGCAGGATGGTATTTAAGTGCCAAACTAATGCTGAGCTATTAGTTCACAGCCAAAAGATTAGAAAATTTTAAGTTCTAATAAATGTTTTAATTTTTTTTTTTTAAGAAAACTCAGCTATCCAATCATAAAGCTACAGAAGTATGTTTGGAAAAGAAAAGAAAATTTAGCAGAAGCTCTAGAGAGGGGAATATTTGTTTTCGAATACAATAATGCTATCATACCAATTTGACAGTTTGATCCCATGAGCCAGACACCACAAGCTGTTCACCTCTGGTTTGGCTCCAATCAACACTATACACCTAAAAACAATCAAAAGCATTTAGAAAGCAAAAGACCATCAAGTTCAACGTTGCATTTTATCTCTTGTTATATAACAGTGAGAGGCAGAACAACTAATTTACTATGTCAAAACATCAAATAATTCCTATCCATCTCAACAAGGTGTCCGAGAAATGAGAAGTTGATCTTGTCCATTCCTCCAGACTTATTCCTTACAGATAAGACTCCATTCTGCTTTCATAGAATTCTACAGTATACTTCCAAACCTTCTTCACTGAAACAAATTATACATATTTTAAAACCTACCAACAAATCACTGTTTGCAGCCCCACGAAGAAATGTCAAAGCAGATTAGAAAGTTAGTCATCTAAAAAAGCTTGCTGGGTCAATGTTTATTGGAAAGCATTAAAATTCAATTAATATCCCTATCTGGCCTTTCCTAGAAAAAGCTTGCAGGAACCAGGTGATCCTTCCAGATCTCTTGGTAAACAGTTTTAGTTATCCAATGCTGCTATTCTAATGTATGCTTCACTGTTCTCAGTGAACCATTTCAAATGAACCATTTGAAAACTTTTGGAAATGTTTTCATTCCTTCATTTTATACAACAGATTATACACAGATCACTCCTGTAAACTAAGTTCAACAAAATATGTGCATAATTATACTTTATGAAATTAGTCCTGACAAGGACCTGCGTATATGCCATTGGTATATCACATTGGTGATCAGCCAGCAGGTTACTTTGAATCTTATTACTCTCTCCCACATACATGTAGGAAGTATGAGTATCTGGGCTTAAGCCACTTAAATGTGGGTTACTTTCTCTCTGCTGCCCAGTACTATGTTGAGCCATGTTGGAGGCTGAGGAAAAAAAACATCAGTAATACTGATCCCGTCACTTATATATGGAATCTAAAAAGGTCAAACTTAAGAGAAACATACAGTAGAATAGTGTTTGCCAGGGGCTGGGGGTGGGGGAAATGGAGATATGTTGGTCAAAGGATACAAACTTTTAGTTATAAGATGAATAATTTCTAGAGATTCAATGTACATTATGGTAACTATTATAAATAATAATGTATTACTGAATACTTGAAATTTGCTAAGAGAGTAGATCTGCAATGTTCTTATCGTGAGAACAAGAAAATGGTAACTATTCAAGTGATGGATATGTTAATTAGCTTTACTGTAGGAATCATTACTCAAGATATATTTAGATCAAAACACTAAGCTGTACAACTTAGATTTCTTTTTTTACCCCCCCAAAACAGGGTCTTGCGCAGTCGCCCAGGCTGGAGTGCAGTGGCACAATCTCGGCTCACTGCAGCTATGACCTCCTGGGTTCAAGCGGTCCTCCCACCTCAGCTTCCTAAGTAGCTGGAGTCACACTTGCGTGCCACCACACTCAGCTAATTTTTTTCTTATTTTTTGTAGAGACAGTGTCTCACCATGTTCCCCAGGCTGGTCTCAAACTTGTAGGCTCAAGCAGTCCTACCACCTCAGCCTCCCAAAGTGCTAGGATTACAGCCACTGTGCCCGGCCTACAAATTTTTATTTGCCTATCATACTAAACCTGGAAAAAAGTTTAACAAAATTATATTAAGCTTCCAAAAAAGGAATAAAAAAGTAAAATATCAATACTTTGTTCATCATGGGTTTTTTGCATTAATTTTTATTTTTAAAAACATTAACAAATTATCTTATCAAGTTTTTTGGGGCCCCCTTAAATTGTGTACCTAGAGTGAGTGCCTCACACATCCTACCCTAGTACTGGCCCTGCCTCTGCCCACATTCATGCAAAAGATAGAAGAGTAGTTGGGACACTAAAGGAAGCACAATCCAGCAGCAGCTATGAAAGGAATAGAAGGGCCAGTGAAAACCAAAGCTGCTGTTGCCATCTGTTAGTTATGGATAGAAAAAAGGCTGGTTTGGAAGCAATCACTGAAGATCTTGAGAGATAAAGAGTTTGATTTTATTCTCTAAATTTCTCCTACAAAGGACCATATAGTAAATGGTAAGTTTCTTCAAAAAGTTACATTTCTTCTACAAAGAGCCACATGGTAAATACTTCAGACTTTACAGGCTATTTGGTCACTGTCACAACTACTAAACCCAGCTCTTGCAGCACACACAAAGCAGCCATAGTCAATACTGAATTAATGGGCATGGTTTGGTTCCAATAAAACTTTATTTGTAAATCTAACTGCAGGCCAGATTTGGTCCTGGCCCACATGATGTAGTTTCCCAACCCCTGCTTTAGGCTGATGTAAACAGTCAAAAATAAAAATAGCAAACCTTTATTGAACACTCTGAGTGTCAGATCCTGTTGATAAGCACTTTATGTATTTTATTTCATTTAATTTTCATTTATATGAAGTAGATACAATGTCAAGGCCCAGAGAGGTTAAGTAACTTGTCCAGAGTCCCAAAGCTAGTAAGGCACAGAGATGAAATCTGAACCTGGGCAGCCTAATTGCAGAGCCCACTCTTAATCGCTATGCGAGGCTATCTGTACAGCATGCTACTTGAGGGCACTGTTGAATCAGAACTTCTTGGCTACCTTAAGCCATGATATCAAGGAACTAAAGCTCTACCCCTGCTGGTATCACCCTTTACTGGAGCTACATTTGGGCCCATTGATTCCATTGTGTTTTCATGAATTACCTATACAAGGATCTTAAAGCCCCTGTCCACTTGTAAATTTCCATTTATCTGTCAAGATGTGGCCCATTACATCCCTTATGAAATAAGCCTCCCCTGATAAGCCCTTCAATGAGTCATATGATGCCTTCAACAACAGCTTGCACCTACTTCTAACTCAGCATTTACCATATTTTATTTACTTAAAAGAATGTTACATAACTGACATACCTGCTAGATTTTGGAGACTCCTAATGAGCAAAACATTTTGTACATCTACGTTCATCACAGTAAAATAGGCATTCAAACATTGGTTAAAATAATTTAACCAATCAAATTTCTCTTTACAACCTGAATCACTGCTAGGTAGGTATAGAGAATTGCTAAGTAAATACTAGCATCATCAGCTCAGACTCTACTGCCTCCATACACCTCCAGCGTGATGCAGCAGGTGAGACCTTGTGACTTCTCACCTTCTAAAACTGCAGGAGCCTCCACCGGCTCAAGAGAATCCAGCCTGAATCAACATCAAAGATAGGAAGAAAACCATGCGGATGGCATTGTTGCTGCCAGCTGTCTTCTGTTGCACAACCAAGTGGCAAGCATTAGGTCTCTAGGACAGAGCTAAAGATAGGACACATACGGTGGTGAAGTTAAAAATGGGATAATAAAGAAGGAAATAGGCTGAGTGTGGTGGCTCATGCCTGCAATCCCAGCACTTTGGGAGGCTGAGGCAGGCGGGTCACTTAAGGCCAGGAGTTCGAGACCACCCTGACCAACATGGTGAAACCCCATCTCTACTAAAAATATAAAACTTAGCCGGGTGTGATGGCATGCACCTGTAGTCTCAGCCACGCGGGAGGCTGAACCAGGAGAATCGCTCCCGGGAGGTGGAGGTTGCAGTGAGCCAAGATTGTGGCACTGTACTTTAGGCTGAGTGACAGAGTGAGACCCTGTCTCAAAAAAAAAAAAAAAAAAGAAAGGCAACTGAATACTATGTTCAAAATATTAGGACATGGGAGAGGAACTAACAGATCAGGAGACTGTGTGGGGTTTTTTTTGTTTTTAATTAAATAAAAAGTAACTACAACAGGCATGGTGGCTCATGCCTGTAATCCCAGCACTTTGGGAGGCCGAAGCAGGAGGATTGCTTGAGGCCACAAGTTCGAGACCAGCCTGGACAATATGGCGAGACCCCGTCTCTATAAAAAAATTTTAAAAATTAGCCAGGTGTGGGGACACGTAACAGTAGTCCCAGCCACCCAGGAGGCTGAGGTGGGAGGATGGCTTGAGCCCACAAGGTCAAGGTCAAGACAGCACTGAGCCGTGACCATGCCACTGCACTACAGTCTGGGTAGCAGAGTAAGACCCTGTCTCAAAAACAAAACAAAACAAACTATTGACCTAAGAGAAGGATTGAAGCGGGGCCCTGAGGGCTGGCTAAAATGTCAATAGGCAAAAAGCAGAAATCAAACAGTAACCAGAAAACTTCCCCAAAGACATAAATGGGAATATACAGCACCCTAGAGGTCGGAGGTAGTGAACACTGCAAGATAACACCAAGGTTTTGTGCCTGAGGACTGTCAGTGATGACAGCATTAACAAAAGTAAAAGACTGAAGGAAGGAAAATAATGTAATTTTATATATACTGAGTTTGAGGTGACAGCAAGACAGGGTTTGGGCATTAACCTCAAGCTCTGAAAAAAGTTCACAGCCAGAGAGATGTTTGAGATACAGCTGAAAAGGGAAGAATGAATTCCATTATCCCAACTTCAATCAATTCACTCATCTATTCAACAAATGTTTATTAAGCACCCACTATGTACTAGGTATGGGGGGAAGGGAGGTTACAAGTTTAGAAAAGACCAGCCCCTATGGATCTTATATTTTAGCAGCAGAAAACATGCTATAAATAAATGTATAATTTCAAGTTGCAATTTTTTTAAAAACTACAAAGGAAAAGCAGAGTAAGGAGAACAGAAAATAATGACAAGAGCAGGGGGTCATTTCTCAACAAAATGGCCAGGAAAGACCTCTCTGTGCAGAGACTTGAGTGCAGTTAAACATTGAACTCTGCAGGCCCGAGATGAAAGGCTCAGGTTACAGAGAACAGGGAAAGACCTTGAACAAGGAACAAGCTTGCCAGATTTGGGGAACAGCAAGGTTGAATAGTTGGGAGGGATAAGATCCTGAAGAGCTATGGCTAAGAATTTGTCTATGATTTCTCTTAAGAGGTTACAACCATCAACCATAAGTTACCACTTAGATTATAACATCCTTCTAACTGTTCTCCCCATCCATTTTTGTTTACCTCCAATCCATTATCCACACTGCATAAAAAGTAATCTTTAGAAAATACAAATTAAATGTCACTCCCC